CACATGCACAGATAACATGCACTGTGTAGCACACATGCACAGGTAACATGTACTGTGAAGCTGGGATCAGCTGGAGCTCTGTGACCACTGCTACCCTCACAGCCCAGAACCTCAGAATGTTTCTTAGCACAGGAGCAGGGGTTAGCTACTCCGTCTCATCTCTTACCCCTCAGGAGGAGGGAGCTGCAGCAGCTGGTCTCTGTGCACACCGATCAGTTATTCATAAATACTCATATTCGGGCTCCTGAGGAGAGCTTTGCCGTTCCTCTTGAGCCTGACGTATGGGTAACAGCTTTGCCAATTTATAACAGGCCAGTTGACTTCGGAGTCATGGACAGGCTGTGCCCATGTCAGAACACATTCACTGAGGACCTCTCTACAGCCAACCATGTGGCACTTCCTTTGACTCCTCACTGTCCGACATCATCGAATGCACACTTGTAAGTGTTAAATTCACTAAGTGACTTTTAGCTTAACAGGTTCCTCCTTCCAGGAGGCTTGTCAACCAGCTCGGCTTGTCTGAGATCTGCCCTGCCTTACTCAAATTCTAAGGCATGAGCCATACCCACGACATAAGAGGCACTCCTGAAAAGTCAGATTGCTCACACATAAGATCCTGATTTCACAAGCTGTTATTACAGGGTGAAAATTGGGTCATCTACATTCTCCCTTGTGTCCTGGTGTGAAATAGTTGATTTCCAGACCATTGCTTATTAAAATAAAGAACATTTGTATACAGGTGGTTATTAAGTATATAAAGTTTATAATTGCACAGGTGACCAGAATATTGCTGACTCACAAAGAGAGTTCAGTGAGGAAGGGTTAGATCCTTGGGCCCTGCACAGGCTAGGTTAAGTGTACTCTTTCACTAAGCTATCTCTTCCTAGCCAGGACTCAGTGTATGGTAAAAGCCAGTCTGAGTTCAGTACTGAGGTCACACCACTGTCCCTCAGAAAGCTTTTGCTTCCTCTTATGTTACCTTTATTTCAGAAAACATGTTTATCATGTTTGTCTCATACACATACAGGATTTTTGTTGGTGTTTCTCCAACACCACGACCAAAAGCAGTATGGGAAGAAAAGGGCTTATTTCAGTATGGTCCATCACTGAGGTAAATCAGAGGAGGAACCTAGAGGCAGGAGCTGATGTGAAGGCCATAGAGGGGTGCTGCTTATTGGCTTGCTCCCCCTGGCTTGGTCAGCCTGCTGTTTCACAGCACCCAGGACCATCTGTCCAGGGATGGCCCCACCCACAATGGGCGGGCCCTCCTCCATCAATCACTAGTTAAAGAAATGAGCCTCCGACTTGCCTATAGTGTGATTTTTTTTTTTTATGGAAGTATTTTTAAAATTGAGGTTTTAGATGACTCTAGCTTGTGTCGGGGTGACATAAAACTAGCCAGGATAGTCGGTTTGTCAGGAATTATAATTAACATAAAAATGATGAGACGTCTCAATAAAGCTTAAAATGCATGTAAGATTTAAGTTTCACAACCAAAGGAAGATTTCTTTTTTTTTTTTTTTTTTTGGTGTGAGTGTATTTGGGAAGGTTAATACAGAGCAAGTTGCCTTTTATGTGTTCCTGAATCCCCACAAAACTTTAAGTATTATATACCTTTGTGGGATTGAGCAACTCAGGGCTTCCTGGGATCATCAAGTGTGGCGGTAAGACTTTACCTGCTGAACTCTCCACAGGCCCTTCCATTGAGATTATTTTATTTTATTTTATTTTATTTTATTTTATTTTATTTTATTTTTTGTTTTCGAAGCCAATAGTCCCAGAAACTATCTGATGCTCGTATACCAGGCACGTATTTGAAAGGACTCCTACGTGAGCTGATGAATGAATGACAGAGCAGATCTTTTTGACAGCAGTGAGAACGGATGACAGCCCGAGCTTCCTCGATGTCTTGGCTGATTAGATCATAGAAAAACTTGAACTTTGATGACATCTAAGTGACCGTACTGTCTTTTAAGATCAACGTTCTGCAAATGGCATATTTCAAAACTTGAGGTGAATTTTACAAGCAAACCATTAGCTCCCCCTCACCGACTTGCTAAGCAAGAGCTCCGCTGCAGATCGATCTGCATTGCCTCACCCACTGTCTGCTTCCAGAAACAGGCTCTCGTTTATACAGTCCCGGCTGACCAGATACGTGAAATCCTGTTTCCCCAGTTGCTGGAATACAGGCATGTGCCCCACATCCAACTCTTAAGTCTCACGGGTTTGACACAAGCACAGTAAATCCATGCAACTCAGTCCTAACATGCTCTCTCCTCCAGAGTTTCCTGGTACCGCTTGCTGGGCGCTGGCCGTCTAGAGTCTGCTCTGGTTTCTCTTACTGAATTTGTCTGTTAAGTGGTTGTTTGTTATACTCAAAAGAAAGCTCATTGCACATCGCAGGATGACAAGCACAGCTGTTAAACCATGTGGAATGTAGCCTCCCGTTCTTTCAGAAAGAAAATA